CGGGCCTGCTCAAGAAGGGCGGCTTCGTGGGGCGACTCCACCGCGGCGGCGTTCGCGGCTCTCAAGGCGGTTGACGCGGCGGCGCCCGTGCTACTCGCCATGCCCGACTTCGACAGGCTCTTCATCGTCGAAAGTGTGACGCTCTACGTCCGGGTTCGCGCGCCGTCTTTGGTCCCGGAGAGGCCACCCGTCGCGTTCTTGACCGGCGGTGGCGCCCGCCACTCCTCGCTTCGCCCATGAATCGAAATCGGGCTGGTCAGCGGTCCGCATCTGGGGCCGTACCTTTGAAGCGGCGCTTCATAGTCCAGACAGATCACTATAGCCTCAAGTACCTCCTCAACCAGCGCCTCGCTATGATTCCCCAGCATCATTGGGTCGGCAAGCTCCTTGGGTTCGATTTCTCGGTGGAGTACCGGTCGGGCGCCACCAACGTCGTCGCCGACGCTCTATCGCGGCGCGATCAGGAGGACGGGTCGCTGCTGGCCATCTCCGCTCCTCGCTTTGACTTCGTCGACCGCCTCCGTCACGCCCAGGCCACGGATCCGGCCTTGGTCGCCATGCACGACGAGCTGCGGTCGGGCGCCCGTTCTGCGCCGTGGGCGCTGGTGGATGACATGGTCGCCCACGCAGGGCGCCTGTACATCCCGCCGGCATCGCCGCTGCTACAGGAGATTGTGGCCACCGTCCACAATGACGGTCACGAGGGGATCCACCGCACCCTCCATCGGCTCCGACGCGACTTTCATTTTCCCAACATGCGTGCTTTGGTGCGAGGAATTCGTCAAGGCTCAGCGATACAAGGCTGACCACTGCTGCAACGGCCGGCTCTCCGCAGCCGCTGCCGGTGCCATCGGCGATCTGGGCCGACCTTGGCATCGACTTCATCGGCGCTTCCCAAGGTCGAGGGCAAGACGGTCATCCTCTCCGTGGTGGATCGCCCAGCCAAGTACTGCCATTTTATTCCTTTGGCACATCCCTACCTTTGTCGAGTCCGTCGCATAGCGCCTTCTTCGCCGACATCGTCCGCCTCCACAGTGCCGCGATCCATCACGCCGGACCGCGACCCGGTCTTCACATCGGCGTTCTGGCGAGGAGCTCATGCGGCTCACGGGACAAAGCTATACATGTCCTCCGCCTTCCACCCACCAGAGACGGACGGCCGACGGAGGCCGCCAATCGGGTCATCGTCATGTACCTGCGATGTTTCACCGGCGATCGCCCCTTGATGGGTCCGGTGGCTGCCGTGGGCGGAGTACACCTACAACACCACCTTTCAGTCGTCCCTGCGTGAGACCCCATTCCGTGTGGTTTACGGCAGGGACCCGCCGACCATTCGGTCCTACGAGCAGGGCGAAGCTCGGGTCGCGGCCGTCGCTCAAGAGATGGAGGAGAGGGCCGCCTTCCTGGACGACATTCGTGTCCGTCTGGAGCAGGCTCAGGCGGTCCAGAAGCGCGTCTACGATCAGCATCATCGTCGCGTCGTCTTCACAGTTGGGGACTGGGCGCTGCTGCGTCTCCGGCAGCGTGCTGCTGCGTCCATGCCCCGTGCGGTGCGTGGCAAGCTGAAGCCGCGCTTCGTTGGCCCGTATAAGGTCACCGAGGTCATCAATGAGGCGGCCGTGCGCTGAGCTACCCCGGATGCCCGTCTCACGATGTGTTCCCGTGGGCGTCCTCAAGCTCCACCGGCGTTGCCGCCCCTCTCCAACGGGTGCCGTGCACTGCTGCGCCATCGCGGGTGACGCAGGGCCGCTGGTCGTGGAGTTCGCCAAGTCCTCGTCGAATGGAGGGTCACAACCGCGGCAGCCTCACAGGAAGACCTCGGCGATTTCGCACTCGGTTTCTTCGTTTCAGCTCGAGGACGAGCTGGACTTCGAGGCGGGAGAGATGTCATGTCTGGAGCGGGTATCGGGTTAAGGCGCTGCCATGACATACTAGGTGGCTGCCGGCCAAGCGTCAGCGTGGAACGCGCCAATGAGGCCGATCAGGCAGGTCGTGGCTAGGAGGCCTCAGTTGGAAAGTTATCAGGATTAGTTCCCTTATTATTATTAGCATCTATTTGTTACCTTAAGATTAGGAGTTTGTTTTCCTTTTGTTGGCAGCCGCAAGGCTATATATATTATTGTAACCGGACTTGAGGGATTTAAGCAAGATTATTATCCTATCTTCCATCTAATCTCAAGCCTGCGGTAGAGGGGCATAACCTCACCGGAGAAGACGGCCGAGGGCTACGAGCTTCGTAGCCGAGGCCCTGCGCGTCGAGGGTTCGACGCCCTTGACATGGTTGGAGTACCAAGACATTATTTGGTAGGCAATCATCATCTGAATAAAATAAAAAATGTGACATGATTGTCAGTGATGAAGACATCAGCATGTCAAAACCAATATTCATAAATACCAAATGTTTGTGTGCGGAACTAGGGGCCACTGGTTAATGGTGGATTTGGATTGCATGTGACGTGAAGCCAAAGCACAAGTAGATATAGGCCTACAATGCACATTTAATAAAAGTGAAGTGCGATGGAAAACCATAAAAGATAAACTGTAAATATACAAGAGCTTTGTTTGGGAGATTTGTTCGATCTTCGTTTATCCTAGATACAAAAATATTATCTAGACCTAGCTCAAAGCATGCACCTTGTATCAGCTGCACCTGAGGCTGACGCTTGAGTACTACCTAGTGTATGTGATTTAGATTTTTCAAAGAAAATCTAACTTCTTTTGCTGGACAAAAAACCTGAAGTACCTATACCACTTGTACAAAGCCAAATCCTATATGAATTCACGGGCATAAAAAACAATGATTCTAGTCAGACTATTGCATAAAAAAGGTTTTCCGCTCTTTACCAAATCAAGCCAACGCACAGAAGAAAGCAGGACAGGGCAAGCAAGTAGGACAAGACAGTAAGACTGAGATGTCACCCTTCAACTGATCCCAGCTAAGATCCCCGAAAAACAAAGAGTAATACATGAGAAAACTTGCCCAAACTACAACCAAAGCCATTCTTAACTTAGCACAGACCAATGATTCTAGTCCGCCCAATGATTCTAGTCAGACCATAGAATACTGAATTACTGGTAGTTAATAAAATAGACAAAAGCATGTTACATAGAAAACTGAATTACTGAACACTGACAGCCAAATACCAGGTGTAATTGATGATTCAAAATTACCAAAGTGCTAATCCACCTATATCAAAATTACTAATGCAAGCAGTAATTCTTCATGACGTTTGAAGTGTAGCTGGAAAGACAAACTTCACTATTTGGAAGACCAAATGTTATTCCACAAAGGACAGCTCTCAAAACTGGTTCAGTACTCCACGAAAAAGTACTTAAACCACAGAAAATATCAAATATTTCAGTTGCTCAATGCGGAAAAAGCCTAAATGTTAAACTTCGGATCACTGAAGGCACAAAACTGCACTCCTTCTATTATACAGAGCAAGAGCAATCACATGTAAAGCACAAAACCATACACGGAGTCACGGACACACCTTCTATTATACAGATAACGAAGATTTATTCAGCAACAGATGCACTATGAGAAGTTACCTCATCCTATTTAATCCATCTTGTATTTTTATTCACAATTATGCATCTGCAAATATAAAAATCTTCAGCGAATCAGAGAAAGATACTGCTGGTACTTTGAGATGCCCTGATTTTTGCAGCCCACCTTACTAGCACCTGCTGCTCTGCCTAACCAACCTTGACAAGAGCGAGACCGGCCGGCAGGGGCAATGAATCGAACAGGTGGTGAGCAAGAGGAAGAGGGGAGGGGAAAGAAACCACCAGGTGGTTCAGGGAGTCGTTGCTGCCACGGATGAGGGTGGCCGCCTGTCCACGTCGGGGTCATCGTGGCCCAGCGTGCTGAAGGCGATGTCGAGGCACTCACGGCTGATTTCCGCCGGTCCGCGACGGCGCGACACCACCATGCTCCTCCTCCCCAGCTTCTCGTGGCGCATCTCTTCTACTCCTCTTCGTGCAGCTTCTAGATTGGGTGGGGGCGGATTGGGGGCTTGGGACAGAGCATTGGTGGGATTCAGGAGGCGGCGGCTGGGTTTGGACGAGCGGAACTTGAGAAAGGGGACGAGTTTTGGCTGGCCGCGGAGAGCTAGCGCGGGGACGATTTTGGCTGGCGGGTTCCTTGAAAATTTGATCTCGCGAATTTTAGAGGGCGTTTCGTTGCCCTCCTAAATTTTTAGCCACTATTTCATCGAATGTTTGACACATATATAAAATATTAAATATAAATTAATTATGAAATTAATTATATAGTTTACGACTAATTTGAAACGAATCTTTTAAGCCTAATTAGTTCATGATTTGACATCGTGATGCTACAGTAAACATATACTAATAATGGATTAATTAAACTTAAAAAATTAATCTCGTAAAGTATTGACGGATTATATAATTTGTTTTTTTATTAATATTCAAACGCCCGATACGACATCCTCTCAACACATCTTCTAAATTTTAGTCACCGGATCCGAACAGCCCCTTAATCACGGTGCGCAGGTATGGGTCCCTGAAAATTTCACCTTGCGCCTAGCAGTCCGAACTCAACATATGTCGCCGCCCATCACAACATTTTCAACTTAAAAGAAAATAAAAAATAAAAAGCAAAAGCAAGGGAATTTTAAATAGAATTTTATACAATAACTATCTGAATTGAAAAAATGATTAACATAACCCTTCTTTCCATATAAGTTAAATTTTAGAGTAAAATACACCGAAGGTCCATTAATTTTTGTTGGGGTGTCATCTAGGATCATCAATTTTGAAACTGTATTTTTGGGTCCATTAATTTTCGTTGGGGTGTCATCTAGTCCATTAACTATGTAACTGTATTTTTGGATTCATAAACTTTTAAAATGATTCACTACATGTCCATACCATTTTTTTAACCTTAAATCCAACGCATGCATGCATGCACATCAGCTTCGGCCTCCGGTCGTTGCGTCGGTGAAGACCAGCCTGGGTCAGCGTCCGTCGCAATGGGGCAGTTGCTAGTTGTGGCTGCCCTGTGCTGTGCCCGCCCGCCCACGTGAGCCCACGCCGCAAGGCTCAGTGGCTCACCGGCACCGCGGCGGCGTGTGCTTACTGCAACGAGGTAGTAGTGCTTTTCGTGGTGCCTTTCGTGCAGTTCCCGTTAATGTCGAGGAGCAAGAAGCTTCACGACCTCATCACGAACAAGGAGTCACGCGAGGCCAGCCAGAGGGGCAAAGGGGGCGACCAGGAAGAGGATGCGGGGCAGATAAGAGAGGAGGAAGTGGACGTGGTGTTGGAGGAGGACGAGGAGGCGGACGTGCACCGCATCCGCCTCCCGGAGTTCCCCGGCGGCGCGGAGGCGTTCGAGTTGGCCGCCAAGTTCTGCTACGGCATCAAGCTCGACCTCACGCCGACCACAGCCGCGCTGCTGCGGTGCGCCGCTGAGCGCCTCGGCATGTCCGACGACCACTCGGAAGACAACCTCGTCTCCCGCGCCGACCGGTTCATGTCACAGACCGTCCTGAGGAACCCCAGGGACGCCATCCGCGCCCTCAAGTCCTGCGAGGGCCTCCTACCCCTCGTCGATGACCTCGGCCTCGTGTCGCGCTGCGTGGATGCCGTCGCCGACGACGCCAGGGATGGCGACCACCAGCGCCGCCGCCGGGGCCACCTGGTTCGACGACCTCGCTGGCCTGTCCTTGGCCACGTTCACCCGTGTCATTGCCGCCATGAAGGAGCACGGCCTCGTTGCAGTAAGCACACGCCGCCACGGTGCCAGTGAGCCACTGAGCCTTATGGAGTGGGCTCACGTGGGCGGGCGGGCGGGCACAGCACAGGGCAGCCACAGCCAGCCACTGCCCCACTGCGACGGACGCTGACCTTGGCTGGTCTCCACCGACGCAACGACCGAAGGCCGAAGCCGACGTGCATGCATGCATGCGTTGAATTTAAGGTCAAATAAATGGCATGGACCTGCAGTGAACTATTTTAAAAGTTCATGGACCAAAAAATATAGTTACAAAGTTGATGGACCTAGATGACACCCCAACGAAAGTTAATGGACCCAAAAATACAGTTTCAAAGTTGATGGACCTAGATGACACCCTAACGAAAGTTAATGGACCTCCGGTGCATTTTACTCTAAATTTTATTTTTCTTCTCTGCCTACATGTCTTCTCGATTCTCATTCTCATCTAATTTCTCAGTTCTTATTATTAACAACCTATTATAGTTCTTATTATTGAACATTATAATCATCATATAATGGAACCTAATTTAGTTATTTTATTTATCATGATATAGGGGCCTCATCTCAGTTTGGCTAGCAGAAATCTGGAATAAAATATATATTTGGATGACCAAATAAAAAAACTATTGGAGGATATTTCTTTGTCAAAATCTTTATTTCTAGCAATTGGGAAGGATAGAGAGAGTCTCTTGAAGTTGCTCTTACTAGTGAAACACAATCATTCCGATGTATATTATTCTAGGCAAGGCCAAGATGACATTTAACTCTCTAAAACGAACGTTTTACACAATTTTATCGAATTTCATAAGAAATCCTGCAAAAAACATTTTTTTAGAATTTGTGAAACATCTCCTCAAATTGTATATTGTATTAACAACATGGCAAACATTATACATGTATTTGATCCTCGACATTTCAATTTTGAATAATCAACCATATATGAAATCAAGGTTATATAAAAATTTAAAGTGAAAACTATATAGTTTATTATTAGTTACTTTAGACATTGACAGTTGAAAGGTCCTAATGGCTAGAGGAGGGTGAATAGCCTATAAAAATTTTTCTCTACAACAACACTAGCAAAGTAGTTAGACTAAAAACCAGCGAAGCGAATGTTGCGCTAGCTCTACTAGGGTTGCGAAAGCCACCTATCCAATAAGTCTAATCCTAATAATCTAAGCACACAATAAGCTAAGCTAGTGTGCTCACAAAGACTTAACTAAAGAGCAACACTAACCAAACTAACAAGAGTATGAAAGTAAGTGCAAGAGAGTGAGATAGAAGTGATTATACCAAGTCGTGGCAAGCGATGGAGAACCAATCAATCAAGATCACCGGGATGAAATCCAATCAATCACTAGACAATTGACACGAAGATTTATCCCGAGGTTCACGTGCTTGTCGGCACGCTAGTTCCCGTTGTGACGACACACTCTCTTGGAGGATCACGAGCTAATAGGCATCACATGCCTAACCCCACCGGGTGCCGCACATCCAACACAATAAGAGGGTACTCAATGTCACGAGCAATCCACTAGAGTACCTTTTCACGAACTCCTCGGGGACGAAGGTCAAGAACCCCTCACACGAACCACCGGTGCGGCCACGAACAATCACCACCTTGTGCCGATCACCTCCGCTGCTCCAAAGCTATTTAGGTGGCGGTAACCACCAAGAGTCACAAGAGAATCCGCAGCGAAACACAACCACCAAGTGCCTCTAGATGCAACTCACTCAATCAATGCACTTGAATCAATCAAATCTCACCAAAGGATGCAATCTTGTAAGTAGGATGAGTGAGAGATGAGTTGGGATGCTCACCAGTGTGTATCAGTTGTCAAAGTGTGCAAGAGGGGGAGCCATGGCCGTCACTTGGCCTTAAATAGACTCCCTACAAACTTGTGAACCGTTATGTGTGAAACGTGCCATTCGGACCCTGCATCCGGACCCAGGCACAGCTGATCTAGACCATCCACTCTGAGTCCGGATCGTGGATCCTCGCCACGTGCCCCTCAACTTCAAACGCAAACCGTTGGATCTTCAACGGTCGATCGTCTGCGCAGTTTAGACAATCTGGTCTCAGCCATCCGGACTCACGCCAACGCTGAGTCAGGACCAAAACACCTGAGTCCGCTTGCCCCTCTGTCACTCTCACTCGTGCCAAGTCAGCTCCAGACCCAAGCTCCGATTTCGGACCACGGTCCAAAACGGAACCGTCGCTCTCTGTTTGCTCGCGAAGATGAAATAATTCTTTGGACCCTCGTGGTTGGTCCGAATGACCAAGGTCCGGACCAAATGATCTCAGTCCGGATCACCACATCTTGACATGTCACCTCCTCGCATAGCGCCTGCTCAACCGTACTCAGGGCCTAAGGTCCGAATCTTGTTCAGACCCAGAGTCCGGATGAAACACCTCCTCGACACAGGGACTGTGGTAAGGTTCCAGACCAGGCCAATGGTCCCGACAGCCCGTCCCCTCTGAGTCCGGATGGAGTTTTTTCACTCCAAACTCCACCAAACTTTCTTCCCTTGCTTCAATATGCCAACACCAAGTGTATGACCACCTTGTACACGTGTGTTAGCATTTTGCAAACATTTTTCAAGGGATTAGTTAGCTCTCCACTAGATCTAAATGCAATGCATGAGTTAGAACATCTAGTGGCACTTTGATAACCGCATTCCGAGAACGAATTCTCTCCTCTTAATAGTACGGCTATCTAATCTGAATCCACTCACACCCACTAGGTGTCTTGAGTGGCGAAAACAAAACCCTAAATATACCTTTGTCTTGGTCAACTTGGTTTTGTTTTTCTCTTTCTTCTTTTCTTCTTGGAGCTTGATCCATCATCACATGTGAACCATCATCTCCCCTTGCTCCATCTTCTAGCTCCACATCATCATGTATGCCACCTATCTCATATTCACTTAGAGCAATATATTAGCAACTAGGTTTGATCAATTACCCAAAACCAAACTTAAGGTCTTTCAGCAGTGGGTAGAGGAGTAACTATGACATCGTCCGAATGAACAGCTAATGGAGTATGTGTGTAGTGTAGTGACTATTGCTCTTAGGCTATAATTGTAAATTTTGTGATTGAGTGACTTTACCAAAGGGACTAACATACAAGTGTCGTGAATATGGTAATATAAATTTGTAGGATCTAACATGAGATAGATTACTAATAACCCAAAATTTCTATCTTCAACTTTATTTTCCCTTAATTTTTTGTGACTTATGGATAAGTGATACTTTAGTAGGCCATTGAGGAGCAAGTCCTTTGACTCACATTGCTATAAGTTTAGTAAAATCATCGAGAAAATTAAATTGAGGTAACCATGTGGTCACCTACATTTTAGATCTTCGTATTGTAACTATGCCTATACATTACAATAAGACATATCTTGTTGCCTAGTCACTTGGACCACTTGCGGCTTAAAGATTTATTCAATAATTGTGTCATGCCTCTCGATCCATCTTTCGATTATGCAGAATCTTAATGCGATGGGTGGCCTTACCAATGTGCTCCATATGTTGTTGAAGTAAAAAATGGTAGTGGTAGTCATAGCCCTTGGATACACTACTAATTCCATATACATTTTAAACAAACAGATAGATCTCTTATATTGGCATAGTTACAATACGAAGAGACGTGTATATTTGTGAATAATCATAAGGTCCTTTGATTTTCTTTGCAAAAAGCTTATAGAGGTATAAAATATGTTGTCATGTCAATTTATAAAATTTTCTAATCAAATTCAAATATTATTATAACTATCTTCTACAACTAAAATATTCATATGAGAATCGTTGATAGGCGTGCGAAACAAATCATCGCTCGCTCCCGCTTCCTTCGTGCAAAACAAAACCTTGCACCACTAGTACAGAGACGGCCTTTACTCCCGGTGGGGAACCCCCTCTAGTCCCGGTTCCCCACCCGGGAGCAAGCATCCGGGACTAAAGAGGGTCTTTTAGTCCCGGGTCAGGAACCGGGACTAAGGGGACCTTTAGTCCCGGTGGGTAACACCAACCGGGACTAAAGGTGCCTCCTGACATGCCACGAGCCCGACACCCTTTAGTCCCGGTTGATAATACCAACCGGGACTAAAGGTTTTTTTTTCTTTTCATTTTTTTCTTTTCTTTTCAAAATAGGTTTTTGAAGTCGTATTGTACGCTTCTAATAATACATTTATACGCGCGTATAGTATGTTTCGGTTCCAGCACAATGAATGTATTAAATGAAACAATTCAAGCATAGAAGAAATATATATATATATATATGCATGCATCATATATATATTTACATGCATGCATGCATATGTGTATTTTACATTATATTATTTCATGTGCATATATTACAAAAGATTGCATTACAGTTGTTGTGATATAACAAGTTTCCTCTCATCCTCTAGCTTGGCTTCCATGGCAGTGTTGGGTCGAAGTAGAACTCGCCTTTGGCTTCCTCTAGCTTAGCTTGAATTGCTTTGATTTGGTCTTGCCATATGACCTTTTCCTCCAACCATCGAGCCTACAGGTTTGAATTAAAGGAAAATAAATTAATATATGTACATATATATATATATATATAAAGACATAGTAACACAATCAATAATAATAATTAAATGAATATATAGTGTATTTTTAACGTACTTTGAGTCTCTCTATAGGAGTTCTTTGGGAGACCTCCTTGATAAACTTGCAAACATAGTAACCACAGTAGTTGTTCCCCTGTTCCTGCCTCAGACACCACTTTACGGGAAAAAGATTTATCATCCAATCTGGTGATCCGGTGAAAGCTATATGTTTAATTAATAAAGATGATGCGATTTAGGGGACTTACTTTCAAAGGGATTACATTCAGTGGCGCTTTGTATTTTCCCATGTGTTGCTTCTCAATAAAGGTTTTCCAAACACTGCCCAATAAAAAATTTGCCACGTCATCAGATATAGTTAATCATCATGTTTGTGTGTATATATAGTTGCTAGAGATACCGAAATTACCTCTGGATAATATCTATCATATCTTGGTAGTCAT